TCCGGCTCTGTCAGGCTCCTCCTTCCCTTCGGCTCCTCCTCAGTCCTCTGTCGCTCCGGATCCACCACGGCCTTCTGGTTCCCCGCCTCTGCCTCGATCACTGACACCATCTGCTCCGCCTTGGCCCTCCGGATCCTCCCCGTCGCCCTGGCTCATCAGCTGTCCGTCTCCGCCTCGGGCTCCTCCGCCACCTGCTCCACCGCAGTTGGTTGGCCCCCTGGAGTCGTCAGCCCTTCTTCCTCCATGGCTCCTCCCTCCGTCGGCTCCACCATGGGTTGTTATCATGGCTGTTGCCTGGGTCCCACCTGGCACCGCCTGCTCCAAGTCCTTTCTGTCTCCGCCCTGGCTCCTCCCTCCTTCATCACCTCCCTGGACTCTGTCTGCTGGCCTCCTCCCGGGTGTCCGTCCTCCTCCTGAGCCTCCTCCCAAGTTCCCTCCCTCTGTTGTTTCTACGGCGCGAGGATGCGCCTTCCGTAAGGGGGGAGAAATGTCAGACCTGTGATCCCTGTGACCCAGTTTCTCCTTCACGTTGATTGTTCATTGATGGCAAGTGTGTCCTGTGTATTTAAGCCCCAGACTGTTCAGTCTGTGTTTGTCGGGTCTACTTGTTGGATTATGTGTGTTTACACCTGTTCCTGTTGTGGATTTACCCCTGTGATTCTCTCATTAAATACCATATGTTATCCACGTCTCCATCGTTCCTTCCAGCAGCGAATCGTGACAATATGAGAGACATTTTATGAAAAAACATAACATAAGTCATAATATAAGATTGAGAACATAAAGCTGCCTCCGAACCTTTCCAAGAACAGTCAGCTGTTGGACTAATAGGTGGGCGCTTTCTGTTTTCCCAGCACCGCTCTCTCCGCTGATAACAATACACTGCACACAGAAACAAACACAGTTCAGAACATGACTGATATACTCAGAACATGACTAAAAAATTGTAACATCTAAATATTAAAATATTATTGAATATCACGGAATCAACCTAAATACATTACTTGATACTACCAAAACTACTTTATATGGGTTAAATCAGGAAGAAATATTTCTTTCAAGTAACAATTGCAGGTTACCACTTTTCCAGTGTACAGTCCAGAAGTTCATAGAGGAACATACTCTACCTGATCAGTATTATAGGAGACCATGGACTGATATGCGATGTCTGCAACTGCATAAATATGAGGAGGGTTGGACGTTCTTTTGGCTCCAACGTAAATCTTAGAATTCTGTCACAGAAACAATAGAGTATTAGACAGCTGACTAATAACTGACTAGTTTGACTAATTTGATAATTCACATTTTATGAAGCAAAAGTGGTGCTTGACCATACAAAACACACAATCCCCACTATCCTAGAGTAGGTGGTTGACAGTGCATTCCTATGTGGGTTCTAAGATGTCATAAATGGCATTTGTATGCAGTTGCTTAAAGAGAAAGTTCACCCAAAAATGACAATTATTTACTCACCCTCAAGTTGTTCCAAACCTGTGTGACTTGATTTCTTCTGTTGAACAGAAAAGAAGATATTTTGAAGAATGTAGGTAACCAAACAGTTGCTGGTCTCCATTGACTTCCATAGTATGGAGGAAAAAATACTATGGAAGTCAATGGGGACACATTCTTCAAAAATGTATTAGTATTCATCAAAAGAAAGAAAGTCTGGTTTGAAACAACTTGAGGGTGAGTGAATGATGACAGAATTGTCATTGTTTTGGGTGAACTATCCCTTTAAGTGTTCTGAGCAGATGTCAGTGTACTTCAGTGCGGTTGATGAGGTGATCTGAGTGGTTGTTGGCACTTTGCTAAGCAGTTTCTAAGGTGCTTTAGCATGTTCTCATGTGGTTGCTAGGGTGCGTCTAGCATTGCTATATGGCTGCTTAGATGTTTGAAGTGGTTGTTAGCTAACTGATATTGATATTGCAAAGATGTTCTGAATGGTTTCTGGGGTTTTGCTAAGCAGTAGCTTGAGTGTCCAAGGAGGTTGCCAGGGCATTTCTATGCAGTTTCTACAGTATTCTGAGTGGTTGTAATGGGCTTGCCATTAATGCAAGTTTATGCCAATTGATTTTTTATCTTCTGCAAGGTTAAAATCATAAGCCTGTCTGCTTTGAAATAAAAAACAAACATCACTAATAAATAAAGTAAGCTGAGAAACCCTTGTGAAAAAGAAGTGTGCTTAATTGTATTGAACACACACTCGTAATGTACTTAAATCTTAAAATAATTTTAGAAAAACTGTACTTACAAATAATATAATATTAATTAAATAAAAGG